CCGATCATCCCCATTTACCGGCCTTTGGTTTGTGTTGCATAGCTGTCCCAGAGCACGCAAGCTGGATTCCTTTGGGGTTAAACTGAGCAGGAAGATAGGTCCGAAGAGCACGTCAAATATGGTCTAATAACTGCGGAGTCCCTAGGACAGGATTAAGGCTGGGCTGAAACAAACACTTGAAATCTGTACGACATGGATGCAGGCTTCACTCAGCAAATCTGCTCTTATTTGTCCTGCGTTCTGCTTATGTAGCTGTAGCTTTTACTGTGGGTACTAGTCAGAGGACGTTTTCAGATACTTCGCTTTCTTTTTTTATTTTTCAGTTCGGGGGGGAAGAAAAGGAAAGAGAAGGAGGGGTAAAAAGTTTGAAGTCATTGAACCTTCTGCTTCTAACTCTTGGAAGACAGAAGTATTTTTTTTCCTGATCTATATGTAATACACCCTTTGTTAAAGTTCTAAGTTTAAATGCAAACTGTGTTTCAATATACTCACCATTTACACCACCAAGTGAGAATATTGTACTTAATTTTTTTAAAAGTTTTACCTGGTGGACTTCTCTTCCTATTTTTTCCCCCCCCTGAAGTTCAAGTTTCTTTCCTATCTGCAATGCAGATACAATTTCAAAAAACTAAGGCATGTTCCCTCATTGTATAATGCATGTGAACTGGAGGTGGATGTAAGGATTTGTATAATTGTATCAGTTTTTGCTGACCATTAGGTTTTGGAGTAACATCAAATTATGTTAGCCTCTAAGTCTTCATTTTATTTTCAGATATTTTCTTCAGTAAAAGTAAAATAACTGACAGCAGTTATTTAAATGGCTATTAAAATCATTATTTAAATATTTTAAATGAAGCCATTTGGCTTTTTCCCCCCCTTTTCTGTTCAACTTAATACAAATGGACTTTTTATGAGTTTGCAACCTTTGCCAGCCTCAGAATATAAAATACTTCACAACACCATCAAACCAGAATTGTATGTCAGAAGTTTGTGGCTTCTGGGAAGAATATCATTCTGTCTTGCAAAATACTGGCGACTCAGGAGAAATGACTGAAGCATTTAGAGACTGGGTGTTCCTGTTTGGAATTGTTTAGCTATTTATTTAGACCTCATGAAACAGCTAAACATCCAGCACCTGGACAGTGCATTAGCTCCTTATGATAGGAAGCTTTTTGGCGTGCCCTGAAATTGTGCGAGGTTTAGACTTTCACGTGAAGAAGAAAAAAGCTGAAATACAATAGCCTACATGTTATCACAGAGAGAAGCCCTCAACTGTGAACAAAGTGCAAATTGAGAACTACTGTCTCTGTAAAGTATACAAACATAAAGCTGCAGTGAGGCTACTCCTTCCCGAGGCTGACCTGAAAATCTCTCTACTACGCTTACCTGATTTCATTGTTGCTTTTTAAAACCCCGTCGGCAGCAGTCAATCTGGTAAGAATGAGATGAGTTTTAACTTTGGAGCTTCTTGGGACAGGAGTGGAGGCTTCTGAGCTGGTGGTTGCACTGGTCGGCTGTCCTCCCTGCCCTTTCTGTGTAGATAAAATACACGTGACTTTAGGCAATGAAAATGTATAGTATGCAAATGTTAAAAAACCCAAAACCAAAATGCAACTTCATATGTAGAAGTTTGGGGATACTTTTATAGTATTAGGACTTAAGTAGAAACGTTGAACAGGATGAAACTTTTAGTGAATAGTGTTTCCGTTGATAAGTTAGCTGTCAAAAACACTTTCTGTGGCTGCTTAAAATAGTTAATTGGAGAATGGACTGAAATTACCTTCTGCTTCTCTTCACAGGCTGAAGAACAATGGCTTCCTTCAGCAACCTGACGATTGGCATTGCTGCTGCCAGTTTTACTGTATTTCAGCTCCTGTTCCATGTTTTAAGTTCTTGGGTGTCAACACGAATAACACCTGGTTTTAACAATCTCAGCCAAAAAAGGAAGATCGAATGGAATTCAAGGTAGTGTTCAAAACAAACTACAGCTAATGACCTACCTGAAATTGTCAACATCCGAACCACCTGAGTGTGTATATACATAAAACTGGAGAAAATGTTACTAGTTAAACAGGTGTAAAGGTTAGAGGGACGGCTCTAGGCACTTGACAAATTCTGCGTGTAAAAAGCTGAGGCCCCTTCTTGAACACCCAGCATTACAAACACTTGTACATGAAATGCTTTGTTAGATAGTGATGCCCAAGTGAGAGTCAGTAGAAAAAGACAACAGTGACTGGTGAGAGGTATAAGCTGAAGTGGATTAATTTTAAATGGCTTCTCTGTGACGCTTATAGTAAAAAGAGGTACAAAATTCCCTTCCCTCAGACATGCGTGAAAATCAAAACTACTGCATTTATTGCATGATTTAAGTGCTAGTCTATCTCTGGTCATGCTTTTGGGTGCAAAGCAAATTGCTCTCTGTTCTCCCGGTGCTACTACACTGCAGCCTGTTTTATGCAAGTTACAGTTTTCCAAGAAATTTGATGAATCTTTGGTGTAGTATTGGAGTGAGGCAGGGTGAGACAGGTATATCTGTGTGTTGGTGGGGAAGGAAACTGCAAGAAGAGAGGAGGGAGAAGCTGTGACAGACCCAGGGTACGCATTCAGGAGGGAGCTGTGGAAATTCCATCTAAAAACCTTCCTCACTCCCTTTGTGTTTCTGCAGTTCCGTCACTGGGATGGATCCACCTGCATTTCACTTGTCTCCTCAGGCAGAGCGCTGTTAGAAACTTGTTTGACTCTGTGAATCTTTCCTGGGTGCTTTCCTCTCTTTTAAGCCATGAAGGAAATACAGGGTAGCAATTGCAAATGGGTGATCACTGAGGTTTTATTTGCAATATACTACTCTGAGAAGGTGTATATATAGTACACGAGCTTCTCCGGTTGAAATGAACTGATAAGAGTATAACTTTATGCTCGAGGAGCCTATTACAACTCTAAAATATTTTTCAGGTGTTTCTCAAATTTGAAGCTCAAATTTGTGTACTGTATGGCTGTTGCTGCACTCAAAATGCATTAGTCGTATTGCTGTTCCTCCTCAGTGCTGTTTAAAAGCAATATCAGGTGGATACTTTTAAAGTTGTTTCCATTGTTCTAGGCAGCATTAGCAGCTCAAATAGTCTTGCCCTTCCATTTGGCAAACGTCCACCTGCAGCATTCTTAAAGGCACCATCTTCTTTTCAGTTCGATCTTTGAATAATTACCTACCTGCCAGAACAACCTTGTAGGATGCCAGTTCATGATATCAGTGCCAGCTTACGTTTATCTCTGTTACAATCGACAATAGAGGCAGACGGGGAAACTAAACTAAGCTGTTACCATGTTGGAGCTGAACTTTTTGTCTCTAAGCCACATCAAGTGACCCTTGAATTGCATAATAGGCTTTCTGAGAACTTATCCCATGCCTGGTAGCACTATGCTAAATTGTGGTGCTTTGCATAATAACATATGAATTGTTTCACACATCACAAGTGTGCTGGAAATAAGCTGCTCTGTAATCTCGGCGCTACTTTGTAGTACAGTGTTTAACTGCTGAGGTTGATACAGCACCCCAGGCTGTGTGCTTTTTTACTTCTTTGCACATTTTTTTCTCAGGGTTGATAGCAGGATGTAGATTTCGGCACACGGATGAGTCGTGGACCAGTGCTACGTTCAGTTCTGGAGTTAGAAGGCATGAAACGCAAAGCGTGGTTTATCAACAGCTTGTTGATTTTTACACCTGAGGAGGCCATGAAGTGAAAGAAAGGCTAACTGTGCTTGTGTTTCTGCAAAAGAGCGACTGTTAACTCTGCTGACCAAACACAGTGTTTTGTCAGACTGCCTCATCGCTCCAGTGTTTCACCAAAATGAAGAGACGCCCCGAGGAGTATCTTCTATGTTCAGAGAGTGTAGATGGAGGTGTATGGACCCTGCAGACAGCTGTGCGGGTAGAGAAAGTTACTATCTCCGAGTAAAATGAGTTGGGTTAACTTCACCGATTTCAAAGTAGATGTTTGTTACTTTGTCCTATATTGAACTGGTGTAGGGAGTGCTCACACAAATGGTTCTGTTGGCAGTCCTGAAGGAAACTGGCACAGAGGATGGTTGTGCATTTTTATCAGCTCAGCTGGGTCTGGAAGAGGGCATCTGCCTGAAATGAGCTGTAGCATTGAAAATGTACGTAGTTTGGAGGGTTTTGTAATCGAGCATTTGAGCTGCAGCTCCAGACTGTAGTTCCATACTGTCAATTTGTTCATTCTGACCTTCCAAGAATTAAGAACCAATAAAGTAATTGCTTCTGGAATCTTAAGTATGCAGATGCTCAAATTGACTTAAAAAACTGTACTTCGACACAGACGTAGTACAACTCTTTAATTTGTTGTGTATAAATTCCTGTCGTCTCTTCTACAGTACATGTTTGTACTGCTATTACGCAGTTGTGAAAAAATACATATATTCAATAACAAAGGAACAAGTATGCAACTTAGCAGTGCAACGTTTTTGTTCCCAGTTTCTTGAGGAGTTAAAGGATGCAAGCTTTGACAGTAATTTCAAAGAAATGTACTGAGCTTGATAGCTTGACCTAGATTCCATATTAAAATGGAGTGCTGCACTGTTTCCCTTCTTCTGTCCCCTTGTCTATGGAAAAACCTCAAAGTCCAGAGTTAAGGAGGAAATATGCTTTTTTTTTT